ATCTCCATGTGTTATTTTCTTTTAATGAATCCATTTCGCTCTCCATCGCAAACTTCCATTCTTCAGAATCATTTCGGCTTATGGCTTCTTCAAATGTAATTGGATCAACATCTTCGTTAATACACGTTAAATAACTCACAAACCCATCCCGTTGAATTGGTTTCGGTACTCTGGCCGTCCGTCTTGGTGTTTGACGATTATCAATTTCTACAGTTTCTTCAGGCAAGTATGTTGGATCTGTGAACGTAAGGTCATCAGTCGATTGAAACGAACCGTTTTTATCATCACCTTTCACCGATCTTTTATTATCTTCTGAGAGCTCATCTTTCACGATAGTTATTGTTGTTTTTGGGGAATCTACTACACCCCGCGGGTCCCTCACTTGATCTGGAAACTCTACATCCACGTCAATTTCCATAATCGATGCGTTTGCTTTTTCGTGGAATATCACATCGCGGCTCACTACTAAGCTTTTTGTGTACAGATCGATGCAACGAATACCCTTTTTATTCGAGTCGTATCCTACGAAAATAATTTTTCTAGCTTTTCGGTCCAACTTTTTGCGACGCTGTTTGGGAATGTGCACCATTACTGGGGATCCAAATATTCGTAAATGTGAAACATCAACCTTAGAGGCTGTCCACATTTCCTCCGGTGTCTTATCTTTCAACCCTGAGCAAACTGAACGATTTATTAAATACGACGCCATGTTGACGGCTTCAGCCCAGTAACCATCATCAAGCTCAGCATCAAATAACAGACATTTGGCACGTTCGATTATGGTTCGGTTCATACGTTCTGCGGTGCCATTTTGCTCCGGCGTATATACATTTGTTAGCTGATGTTGAATACCATTGGAGCAAAGAAATGTGTTGAATTGATTTGAACAATACTCAGTTCCGTTGTCAGTGCGAAGGACTTTAATCTTTTTGCCAGTTTGGTTTTCAACAAATGCTTTAAACTCAATAAATGTGCTCAAAACGCCAGATTTTTCTTTTAAGAAATAAACAAAAATTCTCTTTGAAAAATCATCAATGGAAGTTAACAGGTACCTTGCACCACCAATTGATCGGGTTTCCATTGGTCCAACCAAATCAGAATGTATTAATTCTAGTAACTCGCTTGTGTGGCTTTTGCTTAGCTTAAATGGCGCTCGTGATAACTTGCCCTCGGCACATACTACGCAGTTTGGTAATCCTATTTTTTTATTTGCAAATTTCATTCCGGTCACCGCCCCATCACGCATTTTACATAAACTTCCGTAGTTAAGATGACCAAATCTTCGATGCCATGTAATTGCGTCATTTTCTTCTTTGCAAGATAACATGCACGCTTCACCGGCTGTTTTTAATTTGTGAACTCCACCTTCTGGCTTGCAATGTGCAAATTCAACCAAATTTTGATCATAAATATAGCATCCGTTTTTGTTAAAAACAATCGTATTCCCTTTTTGAACAGTTTTGAATACTGATAATAAATTTGCCGACAATTCAGGCACGTGCAAAATATTCGAAATGGATACTTCGTCATTACGCAACAACAATTTCGATTTGCCTTCGCAATTCACTTTCATGTTTTCATCATTCGCAGCAGAAATTTCCTTAACATTCGACGAAGTGCAATCAAACAGTAAATTTAAATTCGGTGTCATATGACTCGATGCCCCACTATCTATATACCAATCGCACATATCGTATTTTGTTGAAAATTTCGCTGTAAATGCCTTTTTTGCAATTNGATTTGGTGTCATATGAGTCGATGCCCCACTATCTATATACCAATCGCAAATATCGTATTTTGTTGAAAATTTCACTGTAAATGCCTTTTTTGCAATTTCAGTGTTGTTGTTCATTGTTTTAGTTTGCCCCTTTTGCTCCTTCTTCTTACATTCAGAGCTAATGTGACCCCTGCCACCACAAGAGTAACATTCTACAGAGCGACGATTATTTGATTTTTTGCTGTTTTGCCTAAACGAATGTTTGCCAATAAACGCATTGTTGTTGGTTTTACCCTCACGTGAATACTGCGTGTCTAACAATTTCATTTTAGCAGCATTTATTTTGTCACATGCTTCGAAACTCAAAATAAGTGGTTTGTATTCCTCTGCCAATCCTGCAAGCATAATTGCAGCCAACCACTCGTCGTCGATGCTAAAACCAATACAATTTAATTTACTCGCCGTTGTCATTATTTGATCGATATAAATCTGCATGTTTTCACATTCCTCTAAACGAATTGAGATCAAAGTGCGCAACAAACCAATTTTCCGCATTATTCCACGATCTTCGTACATGTTCTGGAACTTTGTCCATATCTCCAACGCCGTTTTGCATGTTCTAATATGCACAAATAGCTCTGACTCCACACTTAGTGCCAATAACGTTTTCGCAGAACTTAATTTGTCGGCCTCCTTTGCCTTGCACATTCTTGGATCTTCCTTTGATGGAACGATGCAGTAACTTAATTTCTTTAACTCCAAGAAATTCTCCATTGCAAACGTCCAATTGTGAAAATTCTCACCGCCTTTTAACTTTTCAACCGCAAAGTCTGCTTTCGTTGAATTCGCCATTTTGAAGAATTATTAATTGCTAATTTAGTGTTTTACGAAAAAACCGATTTAAATTTAATGCAAGTAATGCGAAAAACGCAATAAAATTCGCAATTCAACAGAGGCAAAAGAAAAATTAATTAACGAGGTGGGCTGGGCCCATAACCTGTTGATATAAAAAACACGTGCGATCGTTTGTTGTGCAAAAGAAGAAGTGACATTTTATATTTCCTTTAAGCAAAGAGAGTATACATTTGACAGCTGTTAGTCGTAAAGAGTATTTACATATATGCCAGCTAAGGCCTTATTCACAATAAGGTTTAAGGGTATAATAATCTCCATGCTTATACATTATATCTGCAATGCGGTTTCCTGGGAAGATAGATCCGCTAGTACTTCTTCAGAAGTTGCTAATCTGTTTGCAGAGTTTTTTAATTCAAACTTCGTTTGTGATGATCATGACTCCAATTCCTACTTCTCCTTGAAAGATAACTCACCTATGAACTTCGGCCTTTTGAGTCTGTCGTTAGAAGACGTTGAGGATGGTATCAAAGATCTTAAACCGTCTACTAAGATGGATATAGATGGTATCTCCACTATCCTTCTTTTAAAATATCCTGCGCTTGCTTTTCCTATCAAACTAATCTTTAACAAATCGTTAGAATCTGGGGTCTTTATTGACGACTGGAAACGGACGGATGTTACTCCAATTTACAAAAGTGGCAAAAAGGACGATGTTTCTCATTACAGGCCGATTTCTAAACTCTCGACTGTATCTAAACTTTTTGAAAGCATCATAAAGGAAAATATGTATTTTGCTACGAAGAGTATAATCTCTCCGCAGCATCATGGTTTTGTTACTGGTAAATCTGGCGTTTTCTGTTGGGAACCAAGTAGACTGTATCTGTACTGACTTCTCAAAAGCGTTCGACAAAGTATCGCATAAAATATTGTTAGCTAAGCTTGCATCTCTAGGTTTTCATTCCGTGTTCCTAGATTGGTTGCGATCATATTTAAGCAATAGACGTTGTGTAGTGACTGTTGATGGTGTCTCCTCTAGGTCCTTCACTGCATCCTCTGGAGTTCCACAGGGGCCCCTGCTCTTCGTATTGTTCATCAACAATATTAGTCGCTGTTTTACCTTCGCTAAATTTCTTTTATATGCCGACGACCTAGAAATATTTTCTGTCATTACCAACTCGGCTGACTCGCATAGACTTCAAGCCAATATTAATAATTTAACCAAGTGATGCCGTATTTCTCACCTTTTTTTAAATATCAAAAAATGCTTTAAGATCCACTTCTTTAAATTAGTCAATGCGTTGCCTACATGTTATTGCATATCTGATATTGTTCCCCAACATGTTGAGGAAATCAAAGATCTAGGCGTTGTTTTCGATTCGCGTTTTACGTTTTCAAATCAAATAGACTTTACTATCTCCAAATTGTATTCCGTCTTAGGTTTCATAAGAAGAAACAGATCAAACTTTTCCGATCCTTATACCTTCAAATTATTATTTACTGCTTTCGTTCGTTCTAGACTAGAATATGCTGCGTTTATTTGGAGGCCTTACTACCAATTCTCCATTGAAGGAATTGAACGTGTGCGAAAAGTTTTCTAAAGTTTGCTCTTTCTTGACTTCAAGTCCCGGTTGCGACTAATTAATCTTAAGCCTCTGGAAAGTAGAAGAGTGATTTTGTCTCTGTCCTTCATGTTTAAGTGTTATTAATGGGGAGATTGACTGCTCCGATCTGTTGCAAAGTATTAACTTTTCTGTTCCGACTCGACACTTACGTAATAACCATCCGTTTTATTTATGCAGATTCCGAACGAACTATGCGTACAATGCTCCTATTGCTCGTGCCCTTCGCGAACTAAACGAGAACTCTAACTCCACTGAACTTGATCTCTGTTTCTAAATCAAGTTTTTCGTCACAACTAAACTCTTACTTTACTTACTTTAGTTATAAATAGTTAGTAAGAACGTTTGTTTTTTGACTTTGAATGAATGAAATAAATGAAATTTCACACTTATTTCACAGAAAGAAATTGTATATGCAATTTTACAGCTTTTTCACGTGAAACAGGAAAAGAATACTATGCTTAAAACAAAAATGTAGGTTCGCATTCGATGCTTTAGATATTCCCGATTTTCAGCCAAAGAAATCTGGTCACCGTTATTATAAATGAAGTAGTTAATTAAGCCAATCAAAGCAAAATAAATTAAATCTTCCCCATTAAATTCCAAAATTTTAAAAGCTCCATTTCTGCCGCTTGGTGACACCCCTCCTTTTTTTATATTTGATTACTCGTTTTCAATTTAAAATTATTCGATTTTTCGCATATTACTTATTGTGTAGTAGGATCGAGTATTGGAGGGTTTTCCCAATAAGGCTCCCTCTATTATAAATACTATACCTGCATACTTGGGATATTGTAATGAGAATGTACCTGTAGCGACTGCAGCTTGTCCTCTAAATTAGTTAGTCGTTCTTCAATTGCATCTTGGCGACTCGACATATCCGAAATTATTTCATAAACTGTATTTTGAGTCTAACCAAAAAAATTAAGTATTGTTAGTAAATATACACACAAAATAGAATATGCTCATATCTGTGTATGTGTAAACCCATATTCTCTTCAAAAGTGTTTTAACTCGAAGTTCCCCGTCTATTATAAAATACAAAAGCAAGTTTTTTGCAGCTACTACTTCAGCAATTGCTAGGAGGTAAGTATAGTATATGACTAGTGCCCGTTTTTATTACATAGTTAATATCTAAAATAAAAAAACTTTTAGTTAATAAGTACACTTTTTACGAAACTAAGTTTTTAGTTAATGCACTTTTGAAGAACGTGGGTCTTATGTGTATACAACTTACATATCGTTCAAAGTACAAAACTGCGTATCGTGGTTCTGCAAAACCTCGTAACTGACATTTGTGCCAAAAAAGATATTTGCTCACCGGAAGCTCCTGTCATCAAACCGTTATTGATTCATACTAAAATATTGATACTTTGACATAGGAAGAAGAGATAATTAGGGATAAACGAGAAACCCGTTTTGAAATAAGCCAAGTTTTACTCTCTCCTACAAAATTTGGGCAACCTCACATACGAAGTTTTGCATTTTCTTAATACGCGGTTTTGTACTTTAAACGACGATATGTGCATCTATACTTACCTTCGCCATATCTGTTATAGTGTTTGCGTTGTCCATTAGTTTTCGTTGGTCCATTTTAACCTTTCGTAACCTGATCGGCATTGAGAAAATTTTAAAATCCATTAGACGCAACAACAGATAGATTTTTTTTTTATTTTAAATCATGCTTAGGGTAAAATACCTATCGCACGTTTAATAAAAAAAGAAAACTATTACAAAATTTCAACTTTGTGAGAAAACGTAGTCGAGAATGATCAATTCATAATGTTGGTATACAAAAAACAAAATTTTGGGGAGTTTAGTTATCTGTTGGACTGAGCATATATATTCCTTATCAAGCCTATTAGTTATATGTTAAAATCTCTAAAAATGTAAATTTTGAATTAATTCTCTGTATTATGAAACGTGCGATATATCAGCCGTCTTTGTTAATGAAACTTATATAAAAAGCATTAAAGCTTTAAATTTTGTAGCGCCTTTTATGGAACATATATCAAGGTCATTGTTTCTTTTTCCGAATAACAAGAGAAATGGTTATAAAAAGATATTGCTGCTTTTGAATACATTTTTCCTTTTCTTGTGAGGTTTTCATGCAACTAAATCTTTAGCATAATTTTTAGCATAAATAAGAAAACAAGTTTTCGATGTTCATAAGTCGCCCGCCTTATAATGATTTATATCAGAAGTTTTTTCATAGTAAAAATACTCTCGGAAGTTTGCCATTGCAGAGGGGCGAGCGCCGCTAAAAACCACTTTTTGAATCATTCCCGATTTTGCCCAGCTAGGCATGGAACCTGGAGGGCGTTTAAAATATGTATTTACATCTAAAAATTGGTTTTTCGCCCTAAACTTTTCAGTTGGAACCCTTTTTTTTATAGCAAATATCTTTCGCGATAGTTGATATTTGTATGTATATGCTAAAATTATCCATGCACCACGATTCTTTAGTGAAACAACTTTGTTCTTGAAAATTGCAGGAGGATAAAAAATACACATTCATTGATATCTTGGGGGAAAAAATCTTAAAAGAAATTGAAGTATATATCGTCCCCGTTATGCCAGAATTATGAATGTGCAAATTTACCAATTTTGAGTTGTTGGGTTGATCGGATTAACCTTTGGATGTTCTATGTTAATCACATATTTTGCAGCGTCAGTTACATGAATGTAACATGACTTATAAACAAAAGCTTTCAAATTTAATTTCCCAACATTTTAATTTTTACACATTCATGTGTCGATATTAACTTCCAAGAATTATAAAATTGTAAGCCCATCTTTTTTTTTGGTTTGGTCGCTATTAGTCTAACTACGCTTCCGATACACCATTGGCTTGTCTAACGTTCAAATAACAAGCACATACAATTTTAATGGCATGAAAACGTCATTTGTAAGACAAGTTATGAAATATTAAGTAAAAAATTTAAATAAGTATGTGTACATCTACATCAAGCGTTTAAATTGCAAATTTTTGCTGGGCTTATTTTTTTATATGCATCTGCCCAGAATATGAAACCCAAAATCGGTGTTATTCACGAAATTGATATACATGTACTTATTTTACGATAAACTCTCCGATATCTACGTTCAAACACTTCCAGCATTAGGCTTTATAAATTTTTTTAATTTCGAATTTATTTTCGTAAGTATGTATGTATGTATGGAAGTACATAAGCAGGAATGTACACGCAAAATTTATAAAGAAGCTTTTGTTGAAAAATACGTAGCGATAGAAATAATTTCGTCGTTAAGATTGCAGAAAATCGTATCTCAATTTCATTATTGACCACTATAAGATTTTGGGTAACATGTTGTTGTAGTGTAGGTAAACTAATATTACGAGTGATATGTGTATAAACTTGATGTATTAATGGGGTTTGGCAGTGAAGAAGAAGTAGATACTTCTGCAATCTTAACACTAACGAAATCACGGATACTAATATTCAAAGTGAAAATTGGAGTTTACATTTTAGTGTAAGTCCACCAACAACACCGAAAAGCTTACACAGTTACACAGAATTCAGGTAATAAAAGGAGCGACAAACACACTTACATTCTGGTCAACAGCTAGCGGTAAGTGCATGCGGCGATTGTGATCAAATTGGATTTTGAGATACGAAATTCTAGAAAATTAACGACTTATGTAAATAATGTTGTCACTGGATTTATGCGACCTGGGTTAGCCCGCATAACAGTTGACAAACATATTCATTTATTTAATGTATTTTATACAATATGTAAACAGGGCTTTACAACCTAGTTACAGGCTAGTAAAACGAGTCGAGATGAGAGTTTTTTTAATGAGCCTATTTCGATAAGTGAAAGATTGGGATGTGATGCACTTGCCCTAAAGTTATGTTCTGAATAATCATGCACATACATGAATAGGTATGTGCGGAAAAGGCATTGAGTGAGGGTTAGATATATTTGAGAAAAAAGGCGGGAATAAAAAATTTCTTCTTCCTCCAGTCAAAATGGATGCATTTAGCAATTCATGCATGCAAACAAGCATTTTGGTTTGAAGTTTTAGTGGAAGTTCGCTTGAGGTAGTTATTGGGTGGGACTAAGTAAATTGCAAAGCAAAATGTTAAATATACTATATTATTTTATATGAAGTTTCCGTGAGGAAATTTTTAGATGTGACTGAGGTTATTGCTATGTACAATGTTTAATTTTGATCAACTGTTATGACTTTCACAGAGCACATTGCACAAAAACTGCGACAGGTTTCTCTAGAATACTCACGCATATATAGCTAGAAGGAACTTTCTTTGGTGGGTTCTTACACGTCCGGGATTAACCCGTTTTACTAGTCTTGTATGTTTGTAAATGAGCCAAGTTTCACGAAGAACATTTGCCGCTGCATTTTTCAGCTAAAATATGATGCAAGGAAGAAAAATATATGTATATTGGTTAAAACTAGTTATAGACAAATAATAAATAAATATTAGAAAATGTGCGTGAAATGAAACAATGCTCGTATTGAACTGACGTATACACCTACATTTAAATGAAACCATATGTGAAATTAACCATCTTAAATGTATGAATTCTTATCTCTGTAATTGTTCAAGGGTCTACATACCTCCTAAAATTCGCAAAAAATTAATTTTTCGTTTATCTGGTTTTTACTTTGTATTTTTCTACACATTTTGTTGCAATGATCTTTTCTAAAGTTTAATATGTTTTGTAATGTGTTCAGTGCGCATTCTAGCAAAATATAATCGAGAAAGTGTCAGCTACATAAAACCATACTTATTAACTAACTACTGGCCACAACTGCCTTCCCACAATTTTTAAAGTAAATTAGTTTATAAGTCAACACATTTTACACACGCCCTCCCCTCTCTCTGAGTTAATAACCTTTCAAATTATGTTATTTCATTTTACGAGATATTATAAATACATATACACTGCCGGAAAAAAGTATTGGCACATAGAATTTCTTACAATATATGTAACAATTTTTATTTTTTTTCGCGAATTGTTTATAAACCATGGTTCATTCTAGAACAAAAAACATTATATACTTTGCAGTGTTGCCACTTTGTGAGTAATTCCTCAAAACGTGAGGAATTTCGGGAGCGCTTGAGTATTTTTTGAGGATTTTTATTTTGAGGAATTTTCTCTCGATATATTTGCAGATAACAAATGCAACCATGTTTTACACAAGAGAGTTGTTAAATTGCTCTGCAAATTTTTGAACAAAAAACTTTCCGAAGTTTTATAAAGAGCGACATACACCACACAAGCGGCTTGTCAAACATTCTTCAAACCTACTTTTCCCATTTCGCCATACACCGTGAAAACATGACTCGTTCAAGCAAAGAAGTTTATTTTTCTTCCGGTTCACCATGTAAAAGGGTTTAGATTTCTTTGATTTTTTTCTCTTGCGTCTTCATTCGGTAAAAATTCCGTTGCGAATGAGGCGATTTTAACATACACAACGTAAGCGGTTTGATCAAACGTCAACATGTCGGCCAGAAAATCAAAAAAATTTGATTTTTGTTCACATTTCAAATGGCTTGTTAAACCTTCAAAAACTCCCATACCATGATACAAATATTTAAAGGTAGTTTCACTTCTTCTTCTTAGCCGCCATTGCTCCCATTTGACGTAAACTGTGCTTTTGGCATTTTTTTTTTGAAATCGAGCTACCATATTCTTTGACAAAAGTAAAAAAGTGATTGATTACCTACTTCAAAAAGAAATATAATTATTTAAAAGAAATTAAAGCTTTTAGCGATAGTGAGCATAAAACGGAAGGTAATTGAAATATTACATTGTATTCAAATAAAATAAGCATTTACTGTTGTTAATTTTTTTATTGTTTTTTAGTAAGATGAGCTGCATATTTAGGAGCTGCAAAAATAACAGAAGAAATTGCGAAAAAACTAACATACAGTTTTTTCGACTGCCGGCGGTACCACAAATGCGGGAAAAGTGGATATCCGCGTGCATGGTAACTGAAAATGCGTTACCAAAAGTATTGTTTGTTTGTTCCGAGCACTTTCCCGCGAAAGATTTCAACCGGAGGAAAGGATGCGCCCAATTAGAGCGAAACGCGATACCAGTAGGAGTAGAGTGAGTATGCTTCCCTAGAACCCGAAATAAAGCAACATCCTACTTAGTTTCTTAAAGGACCAACTGCGTATAATATATCATGTAAAAGATAATGCTACATATTTGGTGTGCCTTACATTTATAGCAATTTAAATCAATACGCAGCTCTTTTAATACGAACAATCATGTAAGTATATTTACCTCTTGTGTTACAACTTTCTTTTTAATAAAATAAAAATTCATTAAAAAAATATTAAAATTTCCAAAATAATTATTTGATTAGGTGGCAGTGCTACCTCAAGAATTTACGAAAAGTAGAAACGTCAGTAAGCACAGTTTATCTCAAAACAATTAAAAGTGACACTACCTTCTTTTTTTGTATCATGTCCCATACACAACTTAAATAGCTTTATGCAAAGGGATATTTCGCTTGGTTTGTCAAGCCGCGTGTGTGGTGTTTTTCGCTCTTAAGCACTTTTGCATGTGTTGCTAAATATTCAAAATGTTATCAATAATTTTTTTCATTCCATCGTTATATTTTCAACTAATTTTGAACTAGCAAGATCTCGATAACGAATTGTACTATCATAAGGATATTCATATTGATTCTTCATTAAATCCAGAAAATTATAGGAAAAAAGTTCTTGAATTAAAAGATTCTTCAGGTTCATATAAGTTTCCCAATTAAAAAAATTATATCTGCATTACTAATATAGCCATTTTCTAATGCTACAGTAGAACGTATATTTAGTAGTTTTAAAATGTGTAGGACTGACTTGAGGACCAGATTGAGCACTGATATAGTTGCAGAAATATTATAGACGAACCAAGGAATAAAAAATAACGGTGATACTTTGTTTGAACCGCAAGAACAAATGTACCAATTGAATTGGAGAATGTAATTAATTTTTATGCAAGTACCTGTAAAAAGTAAATAAGAAAATTTTTAGTAATTTGTTCGGATNTGTTTGTTTGTTCCGAGCACTTTCCCGCGAAAGATTTCAACCGGAGGAAAGGATGCGCCCAATTAGAGCGAAACGCGATACCAGTAGGAGTAGAGTGAGTATGCTTCCCTAGAACCCGAAATAAAGCAACATCCTACTTAGTTTCTTAAAGGACCAACTGCGTATAATATATCATGTAAAAGATAATGCTACATATTTGGTGTGCCTTACATTTATAGCAATTTAAATCAATACGCAGCTCTTTTAATACGAACAATCATGTAAGTATATTTACCTCCTGTGTTACAACTTTCTTTTTAATAAAATAAAAATTCATTAAAAAAATATTAAAATTTCCAAAATAATTATTTGATTAGGTGGCAGTGCTACCTCAAGAATTTACGAAAAGTAGAAACGTCAGTAAGCACAGTTTATCTCAAAACAATTAAAAGTGACACTACCTTCTTTTTTTGTATCATGTCCCATACACAACTTAAATAGCTTTATGCAAAGGGATATTTCGCTTGGTTTGTCAAGCCGCGTGTGTGGTGTTTTTCGCTCTTAAGCACTTTTGCATGTGTTGCTAAATATTCAAAATGTTATCAATAATTTTTTTCATTCCATCGTTATATTTTCAACTAATTTTGAACTAGCAAGATCTCGATAACGAATTGTACTATCATAAGGATATTCATATTGATTCTTCATTAAATCCAGAAAATTATAGGAAAAAAGTTCTTGAATTAAAAGATTCTTCAGGTTCATATAAGTTTCCCAATTAAAAAAATTATATCTGCATTACTAATATAGCCATTTTCTAATGCTACAGTAGAACGTATATTTAGTAGTTTTAAAATGTGTAGGACTGACTTGAGGACCAGATTGAGCACTGATATAGTTGCAGAAATATTATAGACGAACCAAGGAATAAAAAATAACGGTGATACTTTGTTTGAACCGCAAGAACAAATGTACCAATTGAATTGGAGAATGTAATTAATTTTTATGCAAGTACCTGTAAAAAGTAAATAAGAAAATTTTTAGTAATTTGTTCGGATTTTGAGGATTTTTCATTTGTTTTTGAGGAATTTGGTAATTTTTTTGTGGCAACACTGATACTTTGTGCAAAACTCGGGAAAATTCATTAAATTTTCTGCAAATTTTCAATTTTTTAATAAGATTTTTAAATTTTTTTAGTATGCAGTTTTGTAGCCCACAAATTTTATTATAATAAAGCGCTAGTTTGAACTAACTAGGACTCACCGTTGATTTTTGAATTTTTTTTTTCACACAGTTTTTTACATTAAAAAAAAAATTCGAAAATATTAGGGGTATTCAAGCGTTAATGCGGAATGCATTGCACCGGTGCGAAATTCGAAATGGCGAAAATTTATCAGTCATTGCATTTTACTCTTTACCAACGATAAGCAAATGCAATGACTGATGCGAGATTTTCGGCTGTTTGTTGTTGATAAAATTCAGCAATTTCACATTTCGCACCGTTGCAATTGCAGTTCTCATTAATGGCTGACATGTGGTTATCCATATAATTTACCATGAATAAATTCAAACCTCTACAAATTATATACATATTATATCTCCGAAGCCGATAAGTAAAATTATGATAAAAACTTGTAAAACAATCAACAGAATTATCCTTAAAACATGATAAAACATATTTCAATAACACTCATGAACTCGCTTTCGATATCGGAAAAGCAGGGCTCGAATCGTAACAGTCGTGAACAAGCAACTCGTAACGTAAAAATGTCGAATTAAGAGACGATCAGTACGTTCACAACTGTAATCCGAAATATGGTGGTTTCCATCGGAAGGTCTACCGCGATAAAAAAATAAATAAAAGTCATATATCTAATGTATTTATAGGCCAATTTGTCTGCTTTTTTAAATATATATATTGCCTATGTAAGTAGAAAAATGTTTGCGAAAAATGGTCTTGTTAAGCGGCGCCAGGGTCGAGATATTTTGAAAAACCGTATTTATGGTACGATTTGGTTTGAATTTGGCATATCGACGGCTGAGTTGAAGATCGACCTATCTCGGTAGCCAGTTCGAAAACGCCCTACCCCAGAAAATATGTCAAGAACGTCCTACTTCGGAATTTGATTGAAGAATGCCATGTTTCAGAATTTTATTGAAAAACACCCTATCTCAGAATTCTGTTCGAAAATGCCCTATCTCAGCTGAAGATACATTGAAAATGTGCTGAGATAGGGCGTTTTTTAATCAAATTCTAAAATAGGGCGTTCTTTAACCAAAGCCAAAATATAAAATGTATTTGACATAAAATGCATGTTATATTTGCATTAAAAAGCAATTTAAAAGCAATATTAACAAAAATATAA